AACCGCCGGCCGTGGGCACGGTGGACTCACACCCACTTGCTTGGGACTCAGACGCCTTCACTTCTAGTTGGGAGCCCTTGGCAAGGTAACTTAGTTGTTTCACCTGGAAGATGGAGCTAACAGCTGCAGATTTCGCAGGCTGTGTTCTGGATCACACGAGGCTCCAGTGCTTAGCTTGGCAAATGACTCTCATCAAAGTGCTGTGCAGGACCAGCCCGGGGTGCGGTGGGGTGCAGGGGTGGGAGAGGTCTACTCTGCCAGTTTGTGTGTGTGTGTGTGGGGGGGGGGGCTTCTCACTGTTGAAACTGGGACTTGAACAAGGGCAGGGCCGAATGAGTGGCAGCGGGCAGGTGTGAGGCCCAGACCCCTGGACTGGCTCTCATTCTGCTGGGAGTGGTCACCTAAGCCTGGAACAGAGGCTTTCCCTTCAAGGTCAGGCAGAGGACAGAAACCAAGACCGTGGGCTTCAGCTTGGGGCTGTCCCCACTGCACTGCAGCTCTCTGGCAGAGCTCTGGACACGCAGCGGCCCGGCAGATCCGATGGATGGAGTTTGGCGAGCCCTCCAGGGCTTGGCCTTGTGCCTGCCCCCCTCCACACCCCAAACCCACTGCCTGGCTGACACTTCCTTGCTGACTGGGCCCAGATGTGTCATGCGGTGAGAGTTATTTAGAGCTCGTTGACCGCAGAGGATAAATCCAGCAGCAAGCTGCCACCGCGGGGGGTTCGCGATTTGCTTGAGCTTCAAGCTAATTCCAGTAGTGAGGCAATCGCGCCTCCAGGTGCAGTCACCAGGGCTGAGCTGCCGCGTGCACATCTGTCCGGGCCTGGGAGCGGGAAGTCGGCTGGTGGTGTGGCGTCCGCGACTTGCCAGGGGCTCAGTACCTCTGCCATCCCCAAGGGGATACGGGACACTAAGGACGCACGGGTGTGGAGTGAGGGGACGGCCACCTGCAGACGGGTGGGGTACACAGGTGTGAAGTGACCGCTCACGCCATCCTGTAGCACACGGTCTCGCGCCACCGGTCCCTTCTGAAAGCCAATAAGCCAACACTTGCTATGGCTTCATGACCACACTCCGACCCTGCGTTTTTGGAGCCCCTCACCCGTTATCTCTTATGAAGGATTTTTCCTAGAGGCTCTACACTGCTCACTATAAGGAAGAGGACGATTTTGGTCTGAGTTCAATAGATCCTCTCAGGGTCGACCTAGGCCTTCTTACAGCCTGTGACATCTCAGCTTCTGGAAGGCGGTCCTGTATTCTCTGCCTCTGGTTGGGTCTATCCAGTGGTTTTTATTGAAAGGATTGGGGACCTCTCCTACCAGGTCCCCTTGAGCATCGTCAAGGGCATGGTCCTTGATAAGGGTCATTACTGCTTTAGGGAACTTGAGGTTTAAATGAGCAGAGACCACACATGAAGTGGATACTACAAAATGTCCCTCAACCACCTGATCTCGCTTCTGAGAAGGAAACCCGGCAGGAAACCCCTTTACAAACGGGTGTACAAATGGGTGTTATGTCATCGCCAGCTTTCAACTTTGCAGGCACTTCCTTAAAATAAAACCACAAGGTATGCCTGGCTTGGGGGTGAGGTGGGGTGGGGCAGCAGGGGGAGGTAAGGTGATATACAAAACCATTGTTGACCAG